ACTCTGATGAAGATCTGGGTATTTTCACCATAAAGAGAGGTGGAGAGATTAAGAAAGGCAGAAGAACAGTCTACAGGAAGTGAGGGAGAAAATAGAAATCACTAAGTTCTTAAAGTGTTGATAAAAATAGCTGGGGAATGTCTGCCTGACTAACTTCCCTTTAGAACTGTATGATCTTTGTTAAATGGTGTCAGACAGTGTCAGCATTAGTGTGTGACAAAGAGCTGGACGGCTCTTGACTCTGAGTGGAATCGCCTGTGAAGGCAAAGATGCCAGAGTGAAAAAAACGAACAGAACATGCGTTACTCTTAGGGCTTTTGCACACAAGAGAGACTTGTGTGTGGGGGGGGGGGGGGGGGGGTACTTAGGCTATGTCCTCAGTACACACAAACAAAAAAAACTTTTTTCTTTAAGAACATTTGAATAATCTAAATAACTTTTTTTCCACAATAAATAACCTATTGTGCAATGGAAAGGTTCTGTGGGTGTTCTTCATGGAACTATCAATGCCTATCAAGTGTTGATAAACAAGTTTGAATTAGGGATGTGTGTCACGAGACTAATTTCATTAACGTTTTAATGAACATTTTGTTACTCAATAGCAATTCAAGCACCACAAACAACTTTCTTGGCACTTGTAACACTTAGAAATTGTGCTACAGAAATGAGTTGCTCAGCTCAGAGTTTTCCACCAATTTTTGTTGTTGTTGTTGTTGTTGTTGTTGTTGGTGTTTTTTTTGTGGGGGCTTTTTGAAACTGACGGTCTTTCAGCTCCCCTCGGCCTCATGGGATAGTAAAATATCCATTGGACGTACACTTAAGAATCCCAGTGGAAGTAGTACATCATCCATTTCTTTCGCTTACTATTTCATCGTGAATACTACATATTTGCCATACTCCTTTTGACATACTGTGCAGTAGGAAATTACACTTACCCAGAAACTGCGAAGTGATCCCTGCTGCATCAAAGTGATAAACTAACTTTTGAGTTTCTCGTGCACATATTTGTGAGTATTTAATAATATTAGCTGTGACACAGGTCCCATTTTAAAAAAAAAATGAAAAAAATGCTGCTGTTTTTCCTTCATAAATTCACATTAATTGTATTTGGAGTCAGCTTGTTGCAGTTTCTGTGCAGCTCTGTAAATTGTCAGGGAAGATGAGCTGTGATTTCTTCACTCTTATCCTTGTGAAATGAGCTCTGTTAATCTGACAAATGACCATTAAGAGGGATTGAAATGGTTCTCATACTTGTGTACGACGTCTCTTCCGCAGAGGCTTCAGAGAACATTCGCTCATCTCTAAATACGCTGGTGCTCACATACGCTCAGCGTGAGCTGTCAGACTGATGTATAGAGCATGAACGAGAGAGTGTTGAGCTGAAACATGGTGCTGAGTGAATGCTAATATACCATGGAGGCCCTAGAGCTTTAAGACCACCAGCCATGGAAAACTACTATCTCCTTTACTAGTCTCTTCTCATCTCATCTTTTCTCCATTTGTCTCTCACATACATCTTTCATGTACTCTTTTCTTCTCTTCTCAATATCTTCTCTAACGTCTCCTCTTGTCTCTCATATATTCTTCCTTTCTCATCTCAGCTCATATCTCACATAGTCTTGTCTTGTCTCATTTTGCCTCAACATGCTTATCTCTCATAGTCTTAGTCTCATTGTTTCTCACACATAGCCTACTATCTTGTCTCTTCTCTTATATACTCACTTCTTTCCTTATCTTCTTTTCGTACATAATCTTGTCTCATCTCGTCTCTCATATACTCTTCCTTTCTCATCTCGGCTCATTTCTCACAAAATCTCATCTGGTCTCTTCTCATCTCTACTCGACTGTTTTAGTCTCATCTCACATAATACCTTCTCTTGCGTGCTCTCCTTTGTTTCTCATAATCTCTTTTCTTCTCTTCTCAATATCTTCTCTAACATATCTTGTCTCATCTTGTCTCTCATATACTCTTCTTTTCTCATTCCGGCTCATTTCTCACATAGTCTCATCTGGTCTCTTCTCATCTCTACTCGACTGTTTTTGTCTCGTCTCACATAATACCTTCTCTTGCGTGCTCTCCTCTGTTTCTCATAATCTAATTTTTTCTCTTCTCTTCTCATTTCTTCTATTCAGTTCTCTTCTTGCTTTGTCTTTCAAATTCATATTTTTCCTCACGATTTAGTCTCTTGTCTTGTTTCTTTTCTCAAACACTTTTTCTTTGTCCATCTCGTTTTGCTTTGTGTCATCACTCATTCTCTCTTCTCACATAATCTCATCTCCTCTTGATTCGTCTCTTCTCTCACTTTTCTCATCTTGTCTCTTATACTGTCTTCTTTTGTCACCTATTATTTTCTCTTCTCTCATCTCCTCTCTCACTTACTCTTTATTTCTCTTCTCGGCTCATCTTGTCTCTTCTCATCTCTCCTGTTCTTGTCTTGTCTCACATACTACCTTCTCTTACATGCTCTCTACTTTTCTGTCTCATCTCATCTTTTCTTGTCTTGCATCTTCTTTTATCATCTATTCTGTTCTCTTCTTGTCTCATCTTTCATACGTCTTTCCCCTCTCATGATCTTGTATCTTGTTGTGTTTCTTTTTTTCACATACAGCTTTCTCTTCTCATTTTGTCTTATCTCATATTATGTCTCCTCTTACATGCTTTCTACTTTGCTCATATTTTCTCCCACATTCTCTCTTCGCACATAATCGTTTCTTGCATACTCTCTTCATTTCTCACATACTCTTCCTTTCGCATCTTGGCTCATTTCTCTCATTTCTTGGCTCTTGTCTCTTCTCGTCTTTACTGCTCTTGTCTCGTCACACATTTCTATTGCATGCCTTTTCTCTCTCATAATCATAATCTCTTATCTTTTCTATCATCTCACATACTCACTTCTTCTCTCGTCTCATCTCGTCTCGTCTCATATCACATTCTATCTCCTCTTAAGTAGGTTCTTCTTTTATATTTTTTTCTTCTCTCTCACATAATCTCCTCTCATTTTGTTTCTTGTATTTTTTTTCTTTCACATACTACTCTATTCTCATTTCAACTTGTCTCTTCTTTTCTATTCGTATAATGTCTTCTTGTCTCGTCTCTTCTCCTCTTGCCTTGTGTATTCTCACCTCTTCATCTAGTCTCTTCACCTATTCTAATCTTAACTCTTCTTGTCTAGTCTCATTCACTGTCTCATCACATCTCATCTGCTCCACGTGCTTCTATTTTCACTCTACTTGCATCTGTTAAATACACACACTCACACACACAAACAAGCACCATCCTTCCATAAAAATTCCATTGGCTTTAAAAGCCTATTCATTCAGAACTGAGAATCTGGCTGGCTTTGACCCAAGGGCTGAAAGCTGGTGGAAGCCTGTGTAAGTAAGTGTTGCCTGCAAAATACACTCAGAAAGGGAACCAAGCCAAACAGGAAGTGTCAGCGTTAACCTATTTCCAGGAGAGGAAATGATTGGCCACTACGTGCGCTGGTGGTAATTTCATTGGCCGGCTGCATGTGAAAAATAGATGTGTTTGTGCACTGGCACCAAGACACATTAAATACACTGAAAACCCAATCCTACATCAACAGCTCCACAGCAGAGCTCTTCACGGGAGAATGTTTCCATCTGATCGTGTGTCTACACACTTCATAGACAACATCAAAGTCCAGGCTGGGATCCAGTAGGGTGCTTTATTGCCCTCAAACACACACTTTTCTCTTATCTCACTCTGTTTCTCGAGCTGTGCAGCGTCTGTAGCATGCTGTCAAATGCCACAGAAAATCATCTCAGTTTGTAAAAATAAACACAATTGCTTTTAGTTTAATGCTTTTAGTGCATGTGCAATTCAGTATTATTGGAATTATTTGGGACAATACGTTTTGGAGAGTATGTGATGCTTGTGTTTTTGGAGGGAAAAAAACTTATATTTTCTTCACACCAATGTGGGTTACTCAAGGGATAGTTCACTCATAAATGAAAATTCTGTCATCATTTCCTCACCCTCATGTTGTTTCAAACCTGTAGGGCTTCTTCTGTGAATCACAATATATTTATGATATATGTTATATAATAATATTATATAATATATTTTGACGAATGTTGGTAACCAAGAATCTTTGGTGGCCATTGACTTCCATTTTTATGGAGTAAAAAAAAAACACTGAGATTTCTCAAAGTATCTTCTTTTGTGTTCCGCAGTAGAATAAGTCATTCAGGTTTGGAAAGACATGAGGGTGAGTCAGTAATTATGACACAAATTTAATTTCTTCACTTTTCAAGGCTTTTGTCATCCTTTTAGTTATGGGACAACTTATGATTATTCAACAGTACTTTGCAGATAATTACAGAAAATGTTTCCAGGTATACATGGTCATTACAGGAGTTGAAAGATTGGATGTTTGCACAGACCGGCTTATTATAATAAAATCATATTATTAACATATATAATATTTACATCTTGTGGCTATGCTTTCGAAACAGTTTATTGTGTTGCAGTAGAATATTTTTTATCTATCAAGATGACAGACAGCATTGAATCGACTGTTTAAACAGCCTCTGATTTTATTTTTTATAAACTTTCAATATTGTTTTCTCCTCATAATACAGATGTACTGTATTGAACACGGAACCTTCCTATAAAAGCAGACCCACGTTGTTTGCTTTAGATGTGAATGACGCAGTTTGCCCTTGAGAGCCACATACTGGCTCAGACCTATGTGAACAGCCACTTGTTGCTATGCTCTAGCAGATAGAAAAGAGAGAATGTGTGCGTGTGTGTGTGTGTGTGTGTGTGTGTGTGTGTGTGTGTGTGTGTGTGTGTGTGTGTGTGTGTGTGTGTGTGTGTGTGTGTGTGTGTGTGTTGTTAAAGTGCAAAGAAGGTCCAACTTCTTTTCATTTCTGTAAGCCAGGCTTATTAGTGAGATGATTCACGTACTGGACGGTGAAAACTGCAGCTAATTGGCTTGCATTTTTTTTTCTTTTTTCTTTTTTTCTCTTTCCAGCGTCTAATTCAGAGCAGGATGCTGCAGTGAAGTTGGAACAGGAGCGAGCTGAGATACTCGCCAAATATGACAAGGTGAGAGAAAACAGCCGTCATTCACTCACCAGCCAAATACCCTCCAATACACTTCCAAGAAAAACAGTAACACAACAAACACGTACTCTGATCCAATCAGATAATTCACAACCTGCGCACATCATGTTCGACGTGCGGGTTTTCTTTGGGAAGATTCTCTGTAATCTTATCTGCGAAACTTTGCTGAAACGTTGTCTGTCTGATGTTAGAAAGATTGATCCTGATTGGTCAAAAGAGTGCTCTAGAATTGCTGAAATATGTAGCTGGCATGATGTGAAACACCTGTTTCCCAGCTGCTATGTATATCACTTATGTTGGGAGGCTAACTTTTATCCCAAGTTCACATCTGGCATTCTATCTTCATCCATGCTTTCCAGAAGATACACTCGTTAAAAGACATAGGTGAAGTATGTTGGCTTACATGGAAGGAAGTGGCCTTAAAAGTGAAATGAGACCTCACACTACATTGATGCATAATGATTATGTGGTAATAAATATTACGAATATTATGTGGTAATAAATATTAGGAACATTATGACTTCACCTGTCCCCTTTCTATGATTAATGTGTGTTTTCACTGAAAGCTTGTGTAAGGTCTCATGGTTTTTCTCATGAAATCTCTCAAGCATGGTCGGTTTGTTAATTGATAGTTTAAATTGAGTGTAATCTGAGCACTCATTAGGGAGCTGTAATTCTGTAACGTGTCTGTTAATTGGATTGTGATAAGCTCCCTTACGCGGGGATTCTCCTCTCAACTCAAGAGAGCACAACACCTAAACTCCATTACAGTTTTTAGTTAGTTATTTTATTTTTTATTTTTTTAAGTTTTAACATTTCTACTCCCTGAATTCTTGCATTTTTGCACAACTTGCTCCCAACGCACTATTGAAAACGGATACTAGTTCACAAAAACCTCTTTGTTGTTCCAAACCTGTTTTTTGTTTTGTTTTGTTTTGTTTTGTTTTGTTTTGTTTTGTTTTGTTTTGTTTTTGTTTTGTTTTGTTTTGTTTTGTTTTGTTTTGTTTTGTTTTGTTTTTTGTTTTGTTTTGATAATGAAAGTAAAAGAGGACTGGGTCGAGAATGACCAAAACACCATAAAAGTAGTGCATGAATGATTCATGTATTATGTTTTTCAGAAGCCATACAACAGGGAGAAACAGACTGAATTTTAAGTCAAAAACGGCCAGTGCGGGAACAAAAATGTTTTGTTCCCGCACTGATTTAACTCACTGATTCATCCTTTCAGCGGTGTGTTGAAGGGGATGAATTAAGAGCCCAAATTCCTTAAGAGGTTTTGTTGTGTCCAACAGTAACAGTTGGACTGTCAACACAACAAATCGCTCACTGAGAAGATGTGTCCTAAATCCATCCCCTCCAAAGCACAGCCATCCAAACAGCGCATCTGCAACAGACTCCATATTATGTATATTACAGAACTCATTGTTCAGGCTCTAGTTTTGGGTGTTGTCACATTTTACAGTAACAGAAGGGAAGTGTGAATGCCACTAAGCCAGGTAGTGATGTCATTTAATAGTCACTCATTGTTTAAATGTCAAATGTTAGTCCAATATCATAAAATACAAATGTAAACATGTTAGTGCATGCCATTTTGTTCTTGTGAGGTCATTCTGTCAGGTCTAGAGGGATGAATAGATGCAAAAAGACATGAGAGAAAACAGTGGAGGAGGGGTGCGCCCTTGGCATGTGTCGCAGGCCGAAATATTTCCCACAGCCATGCGTGTCACTGTGACATGCCATCAGATTAGCATATCCCACTGTAGATTTATGCCTGTGACACACAGGAGAGGGTGAGACAGAGATAAACGAGTGTGTGCGTGTGCCCTTGATATGGCTTCTCTGTCTCTGATTTTCGATTTCCTTCATACTCTTTCTTTTTTATCGCTCCCACTCTTGTTCTCGCTCCTGCCGATTGATTCCTCCCGTTCTTTTCTCGTTCTCCAGCCCTCCCAGATCTATCAAGACCTTCACATTTGCTTTACATTTAAATTTGCATACATTTTCTTGCCAAAGTGACAAAGTGCACATGTTGTTTATTGCATAGTTAGTCATTGGTGTGACAGTTCAATGGCTTTTGGGATGAAATTATTTTGTCAATGGGTAGCGTGCTTCACTTTTCTTTTCATATGTTTAAGTGACACATTTAAAATGTGAATACAAAATTGCCATTTGTCAAACTAGACATGCATAGTGCACACAAATGATTGAAACTATGTATTTATTTCATTGTTTAATTACAATTTTTATATTGGCCATTTATCGGTTATACATGGAAGCTTGTTTCCGCCACAGAATGAAACATTTTAAAAGATAATTGCGACTTTTTATCTCACAATTGCGAGTTTACATCTCGCAATTCTGAATTTATAACACGCAATTGCGAGATTATACCTCGCAATTCTGACATTATTCTCAAAATTGTGAGATATAAACTTGCAATTGTGAGTTATAAAGTCCAAGTCTTAGGGAAAAAAGACTGACTTTTTTCTTCAGAATTGCGAATTTATATCTCACAATTCTGACTTTATAACACACAATTACGACTATATATTACACAATTCTGAGATAAAAAGTCAGACTTGCGAGATGTAAACTCGCAATTGTGAGAAAAAAAGTCAGAATTGTGAGATTAAAAGTCGCAATTACCTTTTTTTTTTTTATTCTGTGGCGGAAACAAGCTTCCATAGTTATCAGTCATATTATCAAAATAATTATCGGCTTATATTTAAATGAAGTCTCTATGTTAAGCAGCCCTGAATTAACTGCACAAGTTTACTTTACGAAAAAGTTTAAGTTTAGAAAAACAAATTGTGTGTAATGTGTATGTGTGGTCAGAACATGTGTCTCTCCGTGGTCCATGTGTGTCTCTCCTTTTGTAAACACACTGTTCTTACTCAAGGATGATCTGTTTCTGCCCCAGGTGCCTCTCTCTTTATTTCTGTTCTTTGTATAGTTTATTTGTGGTGTACTGAACCTGTCCACATTCTGCCCACCCCTCATTATATACCTGCCTAAAATATGTACGAAGAGCAAATTCACAGATCAGTGGAGCCAAACACTTTAAGAACTCAAGCCTTGAGCAACTCCACACACACATACACGCTAAAACTATGTCTCAACTGATGTGTACTCACTGCTTTGTGTTATTTGTGCTTTCAGGGTAAAGAAAGTGCGGAGGTGGAGCCGTGGGAGGAGGCCAATTTTGATCTGTATAAAGCGGTGGACCGCTTCGGATTCCTGCAGTAAGAAATGTGCATTATTCTGTTCTGTGAGATCTTACACATGAGTGAGGAGATGCAGGTACTAGAGAAAGCCAGCAGAGTCAGAGCGCTCCCTGAAGCCCTATTTTGTTGTTTGTCTTTTTCATTGGCGTGTCCTGTCTTCTCGTTTCTCCTCTCTTCTCGGCCTGGCAGGGAGGTTTGAGGTTTACCCAGGCCCCTTAAACAGCAGTGCCCTATGCGATATTTATAGGGTGCCACATGTGTCTGGCAGATCAGGACTCTCTAATTGCAGGGGTGAAGAAAAAAAAAAAACTCTGGAAGAGTACAAGGAAACTGAGAGATAGATAGACCTGGCTCAGGAACACATGCCAGTGTTTCTTATGATTTTGTTTTTGTTTTTTGTTTTGTTTTCTGTTTGTTCTGTATTTTAAGGGTTTGTTTGTTGTTGTTTTTTGTTCCTTTGCTTTGTTTGCTTTGATCGTATGCTTTTGTTCTGCTCTTTTTTGTTTTTGTTTGCTTTAAGTTTTGTTTGGGCTTTGTTTTGTTTTTGCTTTGTTTTGTTTTTCTAAAGATCTCAATGTTTGTTTAAAAAAATTACCATATGAACACGTCAATAATTACACTGATTCTGATTGGGTTTTCACAACAACAGATTAGAACTCTTCAAGTAATTTATTTCGTCCGCAGTGCTGCCTTAGAAAGTTGCTGCCTATGTAGACAGAAATGAAGCTCTCTAAGGTTTGGAACAGAGCCAGAATGTCATGTCACGACTTCCCTGGGTTTCCTCATGAATATCCCAGATCAGATCCAAAATGGCAGCCATTTCCTGTTTGCTTAGCTGACTAAGATCTTGCACTTTGAACAGTTTCAGGGGTGGGGGTCATGAGGGTATCATTACCAATAATGATGTTTATTTATCCAGTTATGTTCACTTCCTGTGGAACAAAGTAATTCCTTTTTCAGTAATACATGTGAGAAACCAAGATTTGACGTCAGCAGCATAAACCAGTGTATGATTTATGGATGCGTTTTCTGTCCCTGCATGGCCATCATGTTATGTGAATAGTGGACAGACATTAGTAGCTATTTGAGAGTCCAGTGTAGTCTGACTAAAATGAGTTTTGTCCAACTGTGTGTATTTCCTTTTTTTATAATAAAGTGTGTTCTGTCTTTCACAGTGAGGATGAGCTTCCAATGTATGACGTAGTTGAGGAAAAGGTGAGTCCAGTGCTCTGTTTGTATCCAAGGCAACAACATGGTTAAACTTAAACCTTATGTATTCATTCTGCATCTGTGAAAAAATAGAACCAAGATCAGTAGGATGAGGAAGACACTTTAAACCTATTTATCAACACAATTGTGTGCAATGTTTAGGCTTTATTACAAAAACTTAACTTAAGTAATGGAGTGACTTTAAGTGTAAACATGCAGTAAGTTTGAATGAATTCCTTTTTATGTAGAATAATTGCCATTTGGATGCAAGTATGATTCCCCTTCTCATGTAAATTACCGTAGATTCCACATGAATCAAGTTTGTTGTAATTTTTCATATCCATAACTCCTGATAAAAATAAATACTCACTATAGTAACCCAAAAATCGCTGTATTTCCAGTGTAGAGCTGCAGAATACATAACATATAACACATAGGAAGGAACGTCATTGGATAAGAAAACAAAATAGACATTCATTTTAAAGAAAGCTATAGGGCAACTGTGTGAATTTGAGGGGAATGGACTTCATACATCCACTAAATGTCTTTCACCACTTGGTTAAAAGTAAATATAAAAATGACAGACAAGTGATTCAGATTTAAAATTTCTTGATTTTTTTATCACACATTTATCATGCAAAAAGCACTTAAAGTGTCAGCTTATAAAGTGAAAATGAGCTCTAAATTGGAGAAACACGGAAACATTGCGTCCTCAGAGTCCGTTATGTTCTTGTAGAGAAAATATCTGAAATGTCTTTTGAAATGTGTTTTTAATGGGTGGCCTCCTAAATTTTAATACTGCTTTCTAGATCTCACTGAAATCCATTTTCATTCAAGTCCTCTCAGTGTTAAACATTAAACATTAATGTATTGTTTGTCTTTTTTTATTTATTGTAATACATGTTTGCATTTTGTCTGTTTAGCATAAACATCTTGAATTGGAGAGAACGACAAAATGGCTGAAAATGTTGAAAAGCTGGGAGAAATACAAGACCAGCGACAAGGTGCGTGTATAACATTCTCTGGAGGACTTTGAGAAAGTCAGTTTCTCGGTCTTTCATCTTGTGCGTGTGAATGGCTGAAGTTCCCTTTGGCTGTCTCTGTCCTGTGTATTGGCTGACATTGGACCGGTCCCCTAAGAAAACCACTGTCCTGTTTCAGCTGCATACAATCTGTCTGTGTCTGTCTATATTGTTTGGACATCTTCAGGCAGCTTGGTGTGTTCAATTGCATTTCTGTCCACTAACAGTGTCTGGTGTGAAATGAGCAATCTCCATACTGCCTGAGGTGGAGCGTGACCGTTGTGCAGTTTATTACTCTGTGTAGAAGCTAATCATTACTTATTATTAGGCCGATTAGTTTGATTAGATTGTCACACTGTGTCTACACCAAGCAAGCATTAGCATGAAACAATGCATTCCTGTATTTTTCCCACTGCAAAGCTACTCCATTTCACTCCCTCTCAAAAAGGATGCTAATTCTTATTTAGCATACATTTGTCATTTTGTGTTAAAAAGAAAAAGATGCAACAGTGTGTCCAACACAACATGTTCATTTTCATCCAATCACATTGCTGCTTGCGTCACTTTGTGAGCCGTTATTCTTCTCACAAGCAAGTATCCCCGCGCTCATCATCATCGGAGGATATCTTCGATTCGTGGAGGTAAGAAAAGTGTCTGTATTTGGCATTAGATGTTTACTTTTGTGTTAATTTGTAACTTAAAGTTATAAAAAGTTTATGCTTTCTTTTATTCGTTTTATTGTGTGTGGATTCGCTTCTAAATAGTCAATGACACATTGTAGCCATCTCTCTCTCATTGAAAAGCAACGTATTGTGTAAAATGCCCTAAGAAGTTAACATTATCTGTATCTTAAGTTTTTTTTGCTTTCTTGCTAATGTTGGATTGCTATATTCGTTATGTGTATAAAAAACAAATGTGTGTTATTTGCACTCTTGCAGCTTTGAATGGAAGACGCCCCTGGAGAACTTGTGGCAGTTATTGACAGCTCATCTCTTGTATGCTCTGCACTCGAACACATACGTAAATACAAATGATTAATGTTAAAGATGCTTTCAAACACCACTTTTTTAATTTGAAGTACAATCTTTATTAATTGTTAACTCTTCAGAAAAATTTCACTCATACAACATTGTTAATGTTTAAATTAAATACATTTTTGAATGTCGACTTTTTTCTGTTTAATAAATTGTATATAAACTACATGTGAGTTTGTTGTGTTTTATTACATACAAGTTTTTACACAAAAATAACACATAACTATAACATTAGTGTGTATAAGATTTCAACATACTCTCTGTGTTAGTAACACATTACAAATATGTGTGTGAGATGATTGCTATGCATTTTATTTGTTATATATATCAACTTTTTTTATTGTATGTACTGTATGCTATAATATTATCAGTATTTGACACATAGCCTGTTAATGCACTTATTTCATCAATTTAACAATTTTTTGTATTATTATAATTTTTTTATATTTAAATAATAGTTTTTTTCCAATTTGTTAAATACATTTTTTTTTTTTTTTTGTTATTGCAATATTTAAATTTAATATGATATATAATAAAATTTGTTTGTATAATATTTTAAAAAAAGATTAAGTAGTTGAAGTATTTCATATACTTCAGCAATACTAACATTATGTATAAAACTGTTGCGCGGTTCTATAGAAACCTGGTTTACAGTATGTATGTTATAATAGTAGGAATGACAGGGACACATTTCACCATTGCTAAAGTCTAGCTCTGTCAACAATGGAAATTATCTGGTGATCTAGATTTGCATGTTGGCCAGAATTAATATATATAAATATTAGTCTGAAGTGATTGGCAGATTTTATTTCCCATGATCTGAGGTGCAAGGTCAGTACCCATCCTGTTCTTCCTCTGCTGACTGACTGAGAACTTGCAGGATAGATCGGGGTGACATTCACTCTTTAATCACCAAGTGTCAAGTGTATTATTCCAGACAAATCCCACCCGGTTCATGTCCTGTTTGATCTTCAGCCGTCTAACTCATGCTATCATTCATTTTTTAGTTTGTTTTTCGGTATCTGTCCTGTGCCATGATTCTTGCATCTTTAAGATTTAAAATCTACAACTGATTTTCTTAAATTGTTTATATGACGAACAATTCATCCACATAAGTATTGTTTCATCGTTTCCAAGTATGTTATGTTTAGCTGTTTTATTAAACTGCCCATTATGTTTACTATACTGTAGGTACATCGTCTAGTTTTATAATCCTATATAGCAGGAATGCTCAAACATTATGTCAGCCGAACCCATTTGACCTTGTACCCAGTGAGATTTTACATTAATGCTAAGGTTGGCAAAGTTTTATAAAGTTTTGAAACTCTCTTCACATCCTGATAGCAATCAATAATAGAAGTGGTCTAAATATTAAAACATGTTTATGTCCAAGAAATGTTCGTCCAATCCTTGCATTCGGCCCGAATGCAATGATACGATGTCCTACCTGCCTGTCAACATACCTCCATGCACCCTGTTCGCCCGCAGACATCACACATCATCAGCGTGTCCCATGATCCAATGTAGAGTTGTAGTCAGACAGTCACTGAGCGCCACAAACAAACAGCAGCCGCCTTTACAGTTCCTCCTAAACCAAAACAATGAGCTTATGCTGCGTTCACTTCACGCCATGTCAACCGTAATTACGAGATGACATCCCGTGACGTTCTACTCGGAGCGGTTCACATCCTCAGACTCAGATTTATGAGTTTCCCTAGCAACATTATCAACGCCGAAATGAATCTGCAGCAGTCAGGTGGTTCAGATAGGAGCTCTGCAAGTTGTTTACGTTCAGTAATATTATGTGCTTTGAGACACAAAGTAATTTACCACTATCTCTCGTGACGTTTTGCAGACTCTTGTGTGTGTATTTATGTGTTTTGAAGGAGGTGTGTGTTTGGAGAGCGTCTGAAGGGATCTTTTGCTTTCAAATCTTGCCTTGCCAAAATATTTCAGTAATTTAACAAATGATTTGCATTTGCAATTGTTTTGATTTGTTTATTTAAAAAAAAAAAAATCATTTCAAATTTTCATTTGTATAATTTAATTATTAGTTTCTAATCAATAGACTATATAGTATCGATCTGCATGGTTGTTTTGGTTCTGACTTCATTGTACTGCACTCACTCCGGAGACATCTTGGTTATAGTGTTTTTTGTAGAACAGATGGAGTCATTGACTTCATCCGCAATTACAAAGCCAATCCCCCGCTAACAAACACACTTAAACACATAAGCAAACACACACAGACACCTGCCGATTTGTAATGTCTCGTTTTTATTCAAACAAACAAACAGTCTTAATCGCCTCATTTCGCCGAGATTAGAGGCAGAAACACACACACACACACACACTCGTTGGGTTTGTGGCTGTGGGATATGTGCCCACTGATGTCTGTCAATTATCAGCTCCTCAAGAGCCTCCCAAAGATTATTAATAATGTCGTTACCATTATTGTAAGTGAACTACTCAGCAGCCATCAGTCCACACACACACACACACACACACACACACACACACACACACGGATGGGCCCTGAGGGCGGAAGAGACGTTCAGGAAATCACTTAGCAGCAGTAATGTGGACAGATGAGTGCAGGAAACTGGAGAGTGTTCATTCCTCTCTTTCACCTCTCAACCCCACCACCGTCGTACATCTCTCTCTCTCTCTCTCTCTCTCTCTCTCTCTCTGTTCCAGTGGGTGAGTTTAATGGCAGCTGAGAGACGATTCACGCCGGCCATTAGCTTTTGTGGTTTCAGCGTTTTGCTTTTGAGCTTTTAATCTGCCCTCTGATGGGAGTTTAATCTTTACTGACTGCACAATTACCTGTTAGAGACAGATGTGCTCTATTACACTGGTATTGAATGTGTTTAGACGGTGGGATTATAGTTATTGGGGGTGTCCTAATAACCAGGACAGCAGTATCTGTGTCCACATCGTTTAGTTGTATATAAAATATACCTTTGTTTGTTTGTTGTTTTCAATGTCTTTCATATTTTTAGCATGAATTCAAACTCCCAGTTCAATTTAACATATTTGACCATAATTAAATCCATTCCTGCCTAAAATTCTTCCAAAATCAGCACAGAAAATGTGGAAAGTCTGAAAATGCCATCTGGGTCTTCTCCTAACCATGACAAAGAAACAAAGTCATCTGTCTCTGATAGAGTTGTCTATATTCCAGATTGCAAAAGCATTAAACTTTATTAAGTAGCTTGGTGTCATTTTATTATTTTATTTCTTTAAAGGAGGGAAGAATTTTTTCCGACTAATCAAAATAATGCTGGGAAAAAAATCGAATCTTGTTTTGTTCGTGTGTGTGTGTGTAGCTGGCGAGAAGGATCTATAAGGGAATTCCACTGCAGCTCAGAGGTCAAGTTTGGTGTCTGCTGCTCGACGTCCCCAAAATCAAGGAGGAGAAGAAGGACTTCTATGAGGTAAAAACAGTCTCTCCATACACCATAGCCATGATTTTCTTTAGAGCTAGTTTATTCCTCAGAAATGTGTGTGTGTGTGTGTAAGAGAGAGTCAATATCTTTGCTTAAATATGACTTTCTAAAATTGCCAGCCCCTGAGGTTTGCAATGTAACACTTATGTGGTTTGACACACACACACCGCAGAGGGAAACATCACCCCAAACGGACAATAGCAGCTTTACTAAAGCCCTGCAGCATCCACGCAGACAGAAAACATGATTTGCAGGCTGTATTCTCCTTTAAACTGGAAGTGTTTGTGGTCTCATGCTGTGGTATCTGCAGAATGTTGACTATAATTCACTGCTAGTTAATATTTATTATGAACTCAATGCCCTGTCTCTTTATTTCTCCAGAAACTGAAGATCAGAGCGAGGGGGTTGTCTCCAGATGTCCGTCAGATTGATCTGGATGTGAATCGTACATATAGAGATCACATCATGTTCATGCACCGTTATGATGTCAAGTGAGCATCCAAACACACATCAACAGAAATACACACACAGATACACAGGAAGTTTTAATGTTTCATGCTACGATGGGCCCTCAATTCATGTAATGCCAGCTGACCTTAAAGGTACGGTACACTGTATAAGATGACCACTAGGCAATCTAGGTCCCTTAGCACATACAAAACACAACAATAGCAACATGGAGAGGTTTGCAATACAGATGTTTTCTTACAACATGACATTGTGTAGCCGCTCAGAAAGGAAGGAGCCTGGTATGAGTGGTTTTATTCCGTGCTGTCGCCGTCTTCGTCTTCATTATATTGTAATTTTCTACTCAACCGGTACTTTGCAGCAACACAACCTTTTTACTGCAGCGACAGCATGTTTCCTATAACAACGTCTGACATGTTTACGTTTTACGTGACGTGGGAAAGTGACATAAACCACACGAAATTCGATCAGACTGAAACCGATTTCCAGAAATGCGATTTGAATAGGATTTCACACAACATATGAATGTAGCTCAAAACGGATTTGTAAAAATCGCATTATGTTTTGTTTTTCTGCAGTTATAATCAGATTCTAATCGGATATGCACAAAGATTGGATTTTAACTGACAGTCTGAACATAGCCTAAATGTTTTTTTGTTTTGTTTTTTTATTCTGAACAAGTTATTCAAGTAGCCAAATATTTTGTGTTTTGCTTTTAGTTTTGTATTTGTTTTGTTTTCATATAATCAAGTATTTAATTTAATGTAATATAATATAATTTAATTTCTTTTATCTGAACAATTCATTCAAGTAGCCAAACATTTTATTGCAAATATTGCATACATTGTGGTGTTTTACCAGGCTTTCATACTAAATTGCTTTGCTGATGGAGACTCTTTTTTTTTATGTAGGGCTTTAATCTGTCTGTGTAAAATACATTTTTTATTTCTCCTCGGAGGTGCTTCCATTTCTCATGGCCATAAAACTGCTACATTTAACCAGCATGTGAAATGGAAAAGTTGCGAACGCAATGGAGCGAGAGAGAGAGAGAGAGACGCCCACACCCCACCGTTTCTCTTCGAGTTATTGGTGTATTGAATTGTGACAGGGCTAAAGCGCTCATATTGATTGATGTGACATTTACCTGTGGAGATTTGAAAGGGTCAGATCATTCTCACAGTGTGGCCTTAGACATCCACAAGACAGAAATGGGAATGAGACAATGAGAGAGGGAAATAATCGAACATGCAAAAAATGTGCTAAAACTTAATGATCTATGGCATTTAAAATGAAAAGGAGAATGGAGGATGTGTACATTATTGTTTTGTGTGTGCTGTGTTTCAGACAGCAGGATCTGTTTCATGTGCTCACTGCGTACTCCGTTTATAACACGGTGAGTCACAAATACCCCTTTTTTAAATAGCCACGCTGATTTCAGTTTGCTTCCCAATATTGAATTAAATCGCTGTCTCAGAGTCAGCAATCATTTTTGAGGATGGTTTTAGTTTATGTGTGGAAAGAAGCTGCACACAATGGATTCTCACTCTTATGGTGCGTGTGTGTGTGTGTGTGTGTGTAGGAGGTGGGCTATTGTCAGGGCATGAGTCAGATCACTGCTCTGTTACTCATCTATATGAATGAGGAAGATGCTTTCTGGGCACTGGTTAAGCTGCTGTCTGGACAGAGACATACCATGCACGGTACATCCACACTCTTTTACCCACTCTAGATCTGTGGTACTGAACTGGTGTTGAGAAGTAATGATAATAATAATAAAAATCATCATCATAACAATAGTGCATATGTTAGATTGCAAAATAATATCATTTGTGTAATGGAAGAGAAAAGAAATGGAAGAGAAAGTGCATCCATTTAAATTCAAGATAATCCAAACAGCCAGCAATTATAAAATTAAATAAATATCCAAATTAAATGACTACTAATACTGCGAATAATAATATAGTTATTATTTATTTATGTATTTTTTCAAAGAACTATGCGTCCACTTAAATTCAAAATAATCCAAACACCCTGTAATTATAAAATTAAATACATTTCTAAAATAAATTATTAATAATAATATACAATATTTTTATTTTTATTTGTTGTTTTTTTTCCAAAGAACTTTGTCCACTTAAATATAAGATCATTCAAACAGCCAGCAATTATGCAATTAAATAAATATCTAAAATAAACAAATAAATAATGTATTATTATTATTAACTTAAATTTTTATTTATGAATTGCAATTAAAATAATTAATAAATTTAATAAAAATTTAATAAATATCTCAAGTAAATTAATGAAATAAATAATTATTATTAATAATAGTAATACATTTAGGCTTATCCTATTCATAGTATATAAGTTCATAAATTCATAAAGTTTTGGGACCACTTGATGTCCAATGTAAAATCTGGGTCCTGAAGCAAAAATTATTTGAGAACCATTGAGCTACAACACTAATGTTGTGTTTACTTATTCAATACTGTATATTGTAAATATGCACTTCACATACAATTTTCTTTACCAAATTGAAAAATGTTGTTGTGATCCTCTAGGTTTCTTCGTACCAGGGTTCCCTAAACTCATGCGCTTTCAGGAGCATCATGATCGTATCCTGCAGAAGATGATGCCTAAACTCAAACAGCATCTAGTAAGAAAAAACAAACAACCAAAAAAACACCAAAACATCATGTTCTACATTCAAAAAGTGACATTTGAACCTTGGGCCACTTCACTCACACTTTTTTTGCATGCCAAGCTCTATTTTTAGTGTAGATACACTTAGAAGAAATGGCACAAGATATGTCACTGGGGCAGTACCCTGTAAAAAGTTTTTAATATGTACCGTTGAGGTGCTAATATGCACTCTTTTGGTACAAAAGTGTACCTTTTTAATTGGCCCCACCCCAGTGACATTTTTTGTACCACTTTTGTGTATTCATTTTATACTGATTAATGATTAGTGTCCTAAATTAACTTTTCACAATGGCTGAAAAGCTTCATATGCAGTCTTATTTTTGGCCTATATCGTGTTCTCTGTTTGTCAGTGTATTGGTGTCTTTTCTGAAGTAAACCCGAACAGAACAGCTGGCCAACCCTGAGTGCTCATGTCACAGAGAATCCACAAAGAAATGCCAGAAGGGATTCATTAAAGGGCAGAGTAGTTAATAAAAGGCAATATTAATTAATAAAGAGATGGATGGAGTGATGAATTAATCAATTATTTGTGTGTGAGAGTCAGCCTTTGATGTGGGTGGATTAGAAAGAGGATAAAAGAAAAGGATAAGCTTCACTCTTTAATGTGTATGTGTGATTATATGGCCATATGACACTATACAACTACACTATTTTTGCAGTATATATATATACACTGTGCACAATATATGAATCATCTATATGCATGGGATGCATGTACCTGGATGACCTACATTTTAGGAATACAAATGGTGTCGTATACAACCAAAGATCACACACATTGTGTGAGAGCGTATGTGCACTGCAAAGACTTGACCTCCCAGGTCTAGAGTGAGAAAAATTATATTATTTTTAATAGTATTATTTATTTATTTTTACAGAGCAGGATTCTAGGAGGAAAAAATAGAAAGAAACTCAAATGTGTAACTTACTACTTTTTTAAACATTCACCCATACAATTTAAATAAGTATATGCTGTGCAGTGGGTTACACAGTAGTATTGCTTGTGTGGGCATGCACAAAATGTTTGTATCTGCCTTTTGTTGCCATTCACTTATTAATAACTGTAACTTTGCTGCCCTCTACAGGATAACCAAGAGGTGTTCACCAGCCTGTACACTATGAAATGGTTCTTTCAGTGTTTCTTGGATCGGGTATGGACACTTAAAACATTATTTCAGTAAATCAGAGCATATTATCTTTTTCTGTTGCAATATTATTTGTGAAATCTCACTGATTTGAGTGCATTTATATGTGTTTTGAATAGACGCCGTTCACGCTCACGCTGAGAATATGGGACATTTATATTTTGGAAGGAGAGCGAGTTCTGACTGCAATGTCCTACACCATCCTCAAACTACACAAAAGTAATGACTGTGTGTGTGTTGTGTATGTGTGTGTCTTTACTTGGCTTTGTGGACAAAATTGCTTCTAAGGTACTGGTATATCTAAGGTTTAGATGCTAGCTAAACCTGAAAAATCTCCTTAAAAAACGTCATTAAAGCTAAAAATGTTTGAAATATTAATATATTAAATAAAATTATTGATATGTGCAAGGGAAAGCGTGCAAAATAAACCCTGAAAGGACTTAATAATAATAGACTGTATAGTTATTATAATTATTGTGTGGTTCTTAGGATTCAAAGACTTTGAGCATGTCACATTCTAGTTGTAACCACTTGTGTTTTCTCTGCTGTGTGTGTGTGTTTGCATGTTAGAGACACTCTTGAAGTTGTCTATGGAGGATCTGGTGAAGTTTCTGCAGGTGACTCTGTCAAAAGATTTCTGTTTTGAGGACGACTTTGTGATAGAGCAGCTTCAAAACTCCATGTCTGAGCTCAGACGATCTAAACTGGAGCTGCCACCTCCAGGTACTTTAAAAACACACGCACAAACACATACTAAAATCATGGCAAATCATAAAATGTATGGCTGTGTGTCACCACCCATAGAGGGAAGCATCCTGCTGCACACACTGTCTCCTGGTAATCTCTCTCTGACTCTATCTACTTTATCTTTTCCTTTATCTCTTGCACATACACACACACACTCATTCACTGCTGCTATGTATTGTTTGTCTAATCTGCGTTCTCTCCCTTTCGCTTCAAACATAGCTTCTGCTTACACTAGTGGGTCTGGGAAAGGAGGGCGCCAACCCTCCTACAAAACCAACCGGTGGGCAAAAACGCACTGACTACTTTATCTGTCAATCAACCAACCATTCGTTCGTCTACCCCTATATACACACGTCTCTCTCCCCTCGTTTGTTTCTCTGTCTCACACAAAACCTGGGTTCTTCAGCAAAATATTTTTTGGGGGTATGTATTGCAACAAGCTGAGTTCTAAAATTCAGTTGACAGGAAATGCTTATAATAAACACACTTAGATTAGTTCACTGCAAAAACTAGCAATACAAATATTTGTAACCTTTGTATTTTTGAGTAATTGAGTATTTCCTCGTTACCTTAGCAATGTGCTAACACCAAACTATTAGAATCAATTCTGAGTCTCCTAGCTAACAGGGAGCATTCCCAACGTTCATAAATAATGTTTTCATAACTTAGTGGGAACATTAGTATTTTTTTGCTGGGCTCATGTTCGATTTAAATGGGACCTATTATGCAAAATTCACTTTTACATGGTGTTTGAACATAAATGTGTGTCGGCACTGCAGTGTGTGTACACAACCACCCTATAATGGTAAAAATCCACCCACTTCTTTTATGTAATCCCCATAAATCATAAGCAGTGTAAATAAGCCGTTTGCAGTTTCTCTGTGACATCACTTTGCACAGGCTTTGCTACGACTGCTGCCGTATTAGCATAGACCCGCCCTGAGCATTTAACAGCAGCATCCAAGTAAGAAATATATTCTTATTAAAGCTACTAAAGTTATTTAGTCAAGATCTGTTTTTGTCATTGTTTGATTCATATTATTAACAGCATATATAGCAGTGGGTACTGTATAATACAATATACTTTTTACACAGATCTAATATACACATGCGATGTCTTTACTTGCTGTTTACGTTCACAGACAAAACCTACTGTGTTTATGTGAACTTTGTGTGTTTTTGATTATTATTAAATATGGCTTTAAAACGCATGCAGATAATACACTTTCGTGATGATGAAGGACTGCAATGTCACTTGAGTGATAGAGATGGAGATGATAATCAAAGCCGAACAGATGTTTTAGTTTTTGTCAGAGTATCCGAGGCACGAGCTGTACGGGCTCCGCCCTCTTCTGGAAAGTGGGGTGGGGAGCAGAAGCTCATTTGCATTTAAAGATAAATGCTCGAAAACAGCATGTTTTTCCTTCCACTCAATAATGGGCATTTACAACATGGTATAATAAATGATCTGTGGGGTATTTTGACCTGAAACTTCACAGGCACATTCTGGGCACACCTGAGACTTATATTACATCTTGTAAAAAGGGGCATAATAGGTCCCTTTTAATGAGCAATCATACATAACCATTCTTGATTTAAACAATAGTACATGCCATTTGGTCTGTAACCTGCATTTGATGCTTGGCAAATCTTAATTTTGGAACCAAAGTATGATAAACTAGCACCTTTGAAGGTGGTTTGTTTGGATTTGCCGTTTACGTTCCTCACAGCCCTTTCTCAACGCAAACCAAGAACCGCCCCAACCATCAGTATCTGTGTGTAAACGTTCATCATTCCCTTGACGTTTTCTTCAGTTTCCTTCACTGCGAACTTGAATATCGTGCACATTCTGTGTATTCCAAAACGTACCTAACACATCCTTTCTCCACATGATTTGTATGTTCACAGTCAGGCTTGAACAGTAAGTGTTGTGTTAATATTTTTATTTGTATTTTTTTAGCTTCTTAAATCCTCAGTGTTCCCAATCTGAGCTTTGATTTGACACCAGCCGTGGATGTTTGTGGTTTGTTTTTCTTTGAATGAAGTGTCAACTGTAACTCTTGTTTTATTTGGCAGTTTGGTTCTGCTAAAAGACATTCAGCTGCATGACTGTTGCATTTCAGTGTGTGTTTATATTGTCATGGTTTAAAAACTCCATGAAATGCAGTTTGCTTTCCAGGGGACATTCTCGTTCTACAGTATTTTTATTGTTCATAAATTTGTACACGCCCCTGAGAGCAAGAGTCGTCATCGATATTTTGATCTGTTTCTTATGAAGAGAGAGACTGCTTATAAAGTTTTCATGGAGTCTTTAATACCTGGCATTTCTGTGTTGATATTGGCTCTGATTGGCTGCTCTGCTGTCACCCGTGCAGGTAAGGAGGATGAGTTTCCTAAGAAACCATTAGGTCAACTTCCCCCTGAGCCTCCAGGATTGGCGACAGGAGCAACCAATCATGTGGCTAACGGGCAGCCGGTCGGACAGACAGGTGTGGGTCTCCCCCCTCGTGGTCCGAACCCTGCCGCAAGCACCAGTAAACGAGCAGAGTCTGGTCCCATCACTGATGGAACACCAGAAAGGTACCAAGAGAGTCGACCACCCATCTCACTGGACAAGGTGCCTCATCCAGACAAGAGCGAGAGGGATGCACGGGGTGTGGACACTCAAAAGGAAAGAGTCCCAACCCACTTGCCAAACAGCAGTGCAAGAGTTGGTGGGAAGGCGTCGACCCAGAACCAGACAAATCACAACTCCAATACTAGATCCAGCATGCGCAGGGAAATCGGACCTCGCTGGGTCAAGCCTTCCGAGGGCAGACTGGAAGCGGTCAAGGCTGCAGCAATTCGGGAAAGCCAGTCGAGTCTAAATACGGGTGTTCCACCCTCGCCCAGCTCCCTAACTCCAGAGGAAGCCTCCGGGGCACAGCGCCGACCCCATTCTCGGACATTTGTTTCAGGCTCCAACCGCGCTTCCAATGCCTCGCAATACGACAATGTCCCGGGACCAGACGGAGAGGTTATGGAAATTATAGAGCTGGAGAAACCACCATCTCGCCCCCCATCCCGACCATACACTGGACCTTCTTTGAGACAAGGCAGTCCCACCCGTTCTCCTAGTGGTGTAACTGGTGTCTCTCCCTTTAGAATGCCCAAACAGAGCATGATGCAATCCAAACCCGAACCTCGTGCACCTCTGCACTATCCACCTGGCATGACGCCTGTCTACACTACCTACATTTCGGATTCTCGGCCAGAGGAGAGACTATACGCGACTACGGGACGTGGCTCATCTAACCCTTCGCCTGAGAAAACTCTGATGAACAACAGCTACTTAACCTACCGACGGTCTCCGCCAAACATTCCCCCGCTCAGGGTTGCTCCGGCTGAGCTTTCTTCCCAGATAGACAGTGTTGGCGAGGGCGGGTATTACATGAGACAGCCCACCCGACTGGGGTCTCCTGCTTACCCGCCCACAGAACTGCGTTACGAGGGACACAGACAGAGAGAGGGCTGGTATGGGGACATGGAGGCAGGGCCTCCGCGATCTCCTGTGGGACTACCTCGATCTCCCAGCTTCCAGAAGGCTCAGCTGTCTCCCATTCACCCAGTTCAGGAGTTTAACTTTGCACCTGCAAATATCTCGGACGCTGTGCTCCATTTCAGAGGACACTACCAAGAGCACTCCAGCAGGCAACAGCTCCCCCCGCTGTTCGGAGGAGCACACTACAGGCAGGCACAGGAGGCCTTCGCAATGCAGGAGTCTATGCTGCTCTGAGAGGGACCGACAGAGACCGAAATAGAGGGATACACTGTATGAGTTAAGGCTAGCAAGCAGTTTTCTGTTGGCTTAATGCTTTTGCATTCTGTTTTGTTTGTTTGTTCGTTTTGTCTGGCAAGTCTTACTAAACAAGAGTTGCCAGTTTCAGGCATTTGTACTGATCAAAGACTGACTGAAGAATTTTGCTTTTGTTTTTGCCCGTAAAATAATCTTTAACTGCCGATGTGAGTGATATAACAGAGCGTAAATGTGCAAAGAGAGGTTTTTGTTGTTTGTTTAATTAGTACACTGAGATATTTAAATGGAGGGTTAAAGACAAACTCAGTTACTGATCTATTATCGTCTATTTTTTTAATGCATTTCAGACATAAACACATCCTTTAGAGGACAATTTATTCCTTGATTGTGAATATATATTTTTAAGAACAACGATTTGTGTAGGTTAGATACAGTATGGATAATTATGAACAACTAAAACAGTGAACATAAGTGCTGTTGGACAGAACATTTCGATGTATCACTACACAGTGTTCAAATGAAAGTAAAAGGCTTGTTTTATATAAAAATGCAGATATTTAATTTTAAATTGAAAGGGAAGTTTAGGGGGTATGTGCATTCGGAAAGTCTGTTAGTCACTGACCAGCAAGTAGATCTTATAATGTCAGTTCATCAAGGTTAAAACATAAAATAACAGATCAAACCGATTGATACTCGAGTTTGTTCAAATTCACTAACAGATGACTCTGTAACATAGGGTGGAATAAAGTACATTGGGACGCTTTTGGCAGTCAAAGTGGCCCAATTTACCCAAATTCATCCGATAAATGTCTGTGATGCCCAGTGCAAGTTATACAGTTAGTTACTGAAAACTCTGTTAGTATTCAATAATATGGCTGCTAGTTTGTTGTAGCATGCAGCTGCTGTGTTAAGTTGGTTGTACCTGTGCTGTTACTCAGTGGAATTCTTCTAATAATGGACCTTTTTTTATAGCAGCAAGATTATCAATTTCAAATTTTACAAAAGCACAGGTTTTACACATTATAACACAATCAACTCATTGAATCTCTACAGATCTATTGATATTTTTTCCAGTCCGTGCCATTTCCTAATCTTATTTAGGAAACTAGATTAGGCTGCTAACCCACTAACCCGTTTTTGAGTGAATCTTTTTTTTTTTCTTTTTTTTTTATCAGCCTACTTGACATGATTATACGGCATGGCAACACTACCAACTCATTTGACATTCATTTTAATATTACACACCAGTATATTTGCTACTGAATAAGCAGATGGATTATGTCATACTGTAATATACCCTAATGTCCAGCCCAAACAGCTTTCAGAACACTCCACGCAACACTCACTCTTTGTATCCCTTTCTGATGCCATCTGCTATCATACCACAGCAAAAAAAAAATATATATATATATATATATATTTTTTATGTCTTATTCATGGACAAGCAAACTAATTTATTATCTGCTCTAGCCCCAATTGTTTCCTTCTCCCATGCTTGTCTTTTCAGTATATAAACTGGTTTAGTGCATTTCATTTTGACACAGCATTCCAGTTCAGATTGTTGGACTGAACATTATGTCTTTGTTAAACTACTAAATGCAACTTGATTATCAGATTTCCCCTTCTCTAATAAAACAACATGGGGTGATTTAAAAAATGTGGCCACTGTTTTGTTTGTTCTGGCGTCTCAAATTGTTTAGTGAATGTATGAGATCTCATTCAATTCTAGAGACTGCTAAATATTTGGATGTATGAATTTTTTGCAACCACCAGATGTCTCCATCTGCTTGAACACATTGTGCAATTTGAGACAAGAGATCATTTTCAAACTTAAGCTGTAGGTAAGGGTGGTGTGGGACCGAAAAATGACACTTAGTATAAATGTTTAATCTTTATCGTATGAGACTAATGACTCCTAGTTTAGTTATGTCATTGAATAAATGTCAGAAAATACATTAAATTCAGGCCCTGGTGACATTTTGGTCATTCATTTAAAACTTGTCACCTTTCAGAAGCTCAACATGTAGAGTATGGCGCTAACGCTTCATGGGTTCAGTTCCTAAACACACTTACAGATAAATGGGACTTTAATATACTTTAATAATAAGAGTGATTGATGTTTGTTATCTCATGATAAAGACAGCCTAGAAGTTCATTGTTTTCAGTTCCCATGACTTCTTTGTCTCAGCCAAACATAGATGTGGAAAATGTTTATTTTCAGTTGTTCATTCTCCAGCTGTGCATCTCATTTAGTATGAAAACCATCTACAGCCACCTCTTAAAAAGCCAAACTTCACAGAAGAACCAAAACATAGGAGTTGCCTGGTGTTGAAATTAAACTCTGTCTGTGTAATAGGTAATAGGTATGTTGACTGCGTGTCAACCTTTTTCCTGGAACAAACAGATGACTAGAGGAACCTTCAGGTCACTGGAAACTATTTGTTGTCGTGTTTAAAGTGACATAATTTATGGGCGTTCTGTCAGCGTTGACTCGAGGATCTGTTGATTTATGCTGTCAAATTTGTTGATGCGACTCATTGTTTATAAAAACTGACCTAAAAATGAGTCGACCACAGGCCAAATAAAGAGAAAGACCCAACTGAAAGAAACCGCTTTAGTCACCCTAAGGTGGTTTGTTGGTCTAAAGTGGTTTAAACTGGTCTAACTGGTTTCTCAACTAGACCACCACGCTAGTTTTGAAACTAAAATGTGACATTTTGAAGAATTTTCTTCAATGACTTTTACATCAATAGCCCCAAACTATCATTTTTGTAAGTAACAGAATTGTGTTTTATTGTACAGTATACACGCATAGAAACCTCAGATGTGGATGTGTAGAGACACATACAGTACCAGTGAACACCTTCAGATAGATTTCCACATGCATGAACACACTCTGTTTCATACACGAAGCACAAAATAAAACTAGATTGCAGCTGTCAGGAGGACTAATGATGTGCAAGAGATACTACCGGTATATCGAGTTGATTAGTCCACTGAAGGAGAGTTGAATTGAACCCTTGTGCGGTTTCTTACAAAAACAAAACAACTTGACAAACAGCATTACAGGAAACAAAGCTAAACAAGAGACAATAACATGAGGGCTGTATACACTAAGGACTAATGACATAAGACACCCGAAAGCAATGAACCAATGAGAACATGACTCATGAAACAAGGGAACCAATCAGAACCTGACCATAAAGGCTTGTTCAACTTCAGTGCTGCACAGACCGCTTGGCAGCTGACTTGAAGCAGTGCATGCCGGTTAGAAATCGTGTCCGACTTGAAACAGCGGCGACGCCACATGACTGTGATGAATGCCATCAAAGTAACGCGAGAGCAGCCGGCTGATTCAGACTATCCGCCTGTTTCTCCAGCAACCAATGGGTGCTGACCTACTTCCGCTTTCCGGTATTGTGTTTCCTGTTCAGCGGCAAACCTCTACTTGCTAAGTTGCTAGCGTACCATGATATTGACAGAGAAGGCAACATTACATTGATTAGGATAAGTTAAATGTTGTTAACATGAGCTCAGGTTCAACTTGTACCGTTGTTGGTTGCTTCATGTCATCTAGCCACTCCGTCAGAAGGGATGGATGAGGGACTGTTACAGTACTGTCGTCATGACTTGTTAAAACATCCATGGTGTGTATCCACCTCCGTTTTTGTCCATTTGTGCTTCATCCATGGAGAAACACCGGCTTTTACAGCAAACAAGATAGCAAGCTACAAGCTATCAAACATACACAAGCTTCGAACCGGAAAAGGCCGACCGACTTGAACTCAACCCGCTATGAATCATGGGTAAATTCGCTAACCAGGAAAATGGTGGATAGGGAAGCACAAGATGTTATCAGATGAAGGCAAGAAAGTCACATGACCGACAGGAACATGACGAAAACTACAAAAATAAAAGACAAGAAAACATGGACATGAATCAAAACCACATCCAACTGCGACAAACATATTTCCTATTTATGTTTTCAGATGTTAAAACCCAACTTTCAAGGAGCAAACCATATCTTGAAACTAGCTTCTGATTTATGCTCCCAACACCCATGCAAAGGCCTTTGTATTGCCCTAACAACCACCAAGAGCACCCTAGCAACAACCTGGTATCATGACAACATCTATAGTTATAAGAGTTCCCGGATCAGCATCTTTGTTGATCCTGAAACAACATTCCAATCAACGAGTCAGATTTGAGAGACAAGTTGTGTCAGTTTATATCAAGTTTTGGCTTACAACCAGGCTTAGGTGCTTCTACATCAGTCTTATTCACCTGTCATGTCCCTGTGATTTGATGGATAACTTACGGGTAGGGTTAGGTTTAGGGGTAAGGATATTGTTAGGACCAAATTTTCAGACAGAAATGTTGTTCCATGGTCAACAAAATATGTTTACCCAGGAACATGTCTTACAAAATCATGGTGACCATATTCGGTACAGCTCACACTGGGTTCACTTTCAAACCAAGCAGCTTTCTGTTGGTCAACGCGCCAAATTTCACGTGACCAACTTGAAGCCGTTGAAAAAATCTGCGTGGGGAAATCTTTAGCCCTCACGCAAACTTCCAAATCACATGGATTCCAATTGAAATGGCCCTGAGGTGCAGTCACGTTTACTGTCGTTCGTCGAATTTCCGTCGGCAAAATCCAGTCATTTCAAAAGGAATCCACGCGAAACTTTCCCTTAGAAATTTGAAAATTAGGACATTTGTGGTTATCCAAATTTGGCGCTTTGAGCAACAGCAAGATGATTGGTTTGAAAGTGACTTATGTTTGAGCTGTGCTTCAAACATCACTACACAACTAAGAATAGACAAGGAACTTGTTTTGCCTGCAAGGGTAATTTCGTTAATGTGATCTTACCTGAACAATGGTGTGACAGCACCTTAATGGTAAGCTATTACCCATTTCTGGAGTGTTTTTAGAGGACAGTAACCCTAGCTTAGACATGACTCATGTATGAAAACATCACTTATGTGTATGTTTACATGTGTAATCAAGTTGTGTGTATAGAAAATGCAGGCCACCTTCTGTTATTGGAAGGAAAAAAAAACAGCAAATACTTGGTTTTCTTTAAAACGGATAGGTCTAGTTTAAGTTTGTAGAGAAGTGACCTTTTTCTTCCAGAGAGCTCACACTTGTTATCCTAGAAACCTGAAGTGGGACAAGCTAAAGTACCTTTTTAGATTAATATAAAGAATAATTTAGGAAACGCAAATGTGTCTCAGTTTATTTGCAACTACTTTGTGATGGATTAATGTGATCTTTTGGACAATTAGTACACATGTATTTCCTGCTATCTACTCACTAATATGCCACATTTTACAGTAGGTGAGGGTAAACTCAGCAGTAAAGAATGTGCATGTGCTTGCAGCCGGTAAGCTATTTAAAACGCCCTGAGGGACTCTGCTACACCTTGAATTTGACAGCAAAATTCAACAGATCCTCTTAGTGCAATGAATAAGTTCCACTTACATGAGAGGGAATGATATGGTTGCAATCCATTTCATTTTATTTCTTCTTTGTGTTGCTCTCTTATATTTGCATGATATGTAAACCTGTTGGTCATAACAATGGTCGAATGACTGGTTGTTGTTTTTTTCCTCTTTGGGACTGTTTGTTAACCCTTTGATGTATGATGTCCATATCTTTAAAGAACTATGGGCACCTTTAACCATTTCCCATAATGTATAAGTCCGACATCTCTTAATTCAATTAGTTAAAAATATATTTGAAACTACTTTGAAAAAGTAAAACTTAATAGTATTGTTTAAGCTAATCGTGGACAATTTTAAAATATATCATGATTCATGACAGCCATTACGTAAAATATGCAAATTGAGGTATGTCAAGGATCTTGATTGGTCGAAATGTTACGCATCCTTATGAAATATGCAAAGTGATCTTCAGTTAATAGGGTACCTGTCGCTGTACCGACTGCTGAACTGAACGTGTCCAATGTACAATTTAAATAGACACAGTAGGTCACTGAACACCATTAAGTTAGTTTAATTTTCAAGTGTCACTGATTCAGTGTGTGTTTGCACGCGCGTCCTCGTGTGTGTAGAGGCGCTCCGCCTCCACGCACTAACACCACCAAACACGCGAGTCTGGCTTGAGTCAGTTGGAACTCACAGCGGTATGAAACGAGACACCTTCATTTCATCAATGACACAAACAGGAGGGGTACATATGAACTTCATTAACATGATGTGAGATGTTAAAATGACAGCGGAGTAACTACACACACAGGAGAAGGTCTTAAACTGCCGGAGAACAACCAACACACAAGAGGTAAAGCTGCTCATTAATATTAACTACAACGTGTACACTTTTTTTAGTGAATACCTTTACGAAGTAATGCAGTTTGTTTCTCTTTAAAAAAAACATTTTCTTTTGGTGCGGTAGGCTACTTTTTAATTTGTTAAGTACGGTTTTAGTTATTTGTTGATAGTTCATTCATGCTACACACACTGTACAGTATATGGTTAAAACAGGAAATTTCTATCACACAACAGATACCATCAATGTATCATGGTTCCACCACAGTATTTAAATTCTAGGAGACGTATGGCTACCTAAACAGGTAGGCTATGGGCTCAATGGGTGCTTGTTTTACCCGCAGCAATATTTTGTATTTTAGTTTATTCACGCATACAGTTTCCTACTGGAAAAGGCAAACATCAATATATTTAAATACTTAAAAACAAACACACTGTGACTTAACAGAGTTTAAAGCATGATATTATTACATTACTGCTCTATCCATCTATCCATCTATCTATCTATCTATCTATCTATCTATCTATCTATCTATCTATCTATCTATCTATCTATCTATCTATCTATCTATCTGTCTGTCTGTCTCAGTATATCTATCTATCTGTCGATCTGTCTGTCAATTGATGTCTGTCTGTCTGTTAATTTATATTTATATCTATCTATCTGACTGTCAATAGATATGTCTGTCTGTCTGTCAATTATATATCTATCTATCTGACTGTCATCTATCTATCTATCTATCTATCTATCTATCTATCTATCTGTCTGTCTGTCTGTCTGTCTGTCTGTCTGTCTGTCTGTCTGTCTGTCTGTCTGTCTGTCTGTCTGTCTGTCTGTCTGTCTGTCTATCTATCTATCTATCTATCTATCTATCTATCTATCTATCTATCTATCTATCTATCTATCTATCTATCTATCTATCTATCTATCTATCTATCTATCTATCTATCTATCTATCTATCTATCTATCTATCTATCTATCTATCTATCTATCTATCTATCTATGCCTCATGCAATGAATAAATGCCTTTACAAAAAGTACTGTGGTGGTACTATGGTATGATATTAATGCTATAGAACTGAATTTACTGCATTTACATGGTCGATAGATTATATTGAATGAATGTTATATTTATTGAATGTCTTTCTAAACCTAAAGACTTTTAAAAATATGTGGTATCCATGTTTGACAGACAATGGGATAATAAGGGCACATCATTGTTGTCTCTATTTTTTTCTTTCTGGAAGAGGTTCTCGCACTTTTCTATCGTGCTGGCTCAAATGATGTTCGTCTTCACGCTCTGCCTATCCTTATGGTCCTGGATGTCATCCATTCACGGTCTGGATTTCCGCTATCATAACAGCGTGGAAATGGAGCAGTACTTGAAAGACGTCAACAGGACGTATCCTGAGATCACACATCTACACAGCATCGGGCAGTCTGTCGAAGGTAAAACAGCTGTGGTGCAGCGTTAAACACAATCATGACAATATGTTTCTATGTTTGTCTTCTGTGAGTTCAATTCCTCTCTGTGTATGTGTTCCTGCAGAAGAGCACACGGTGTTGTACAGTTTGAGGGAATGTACATTTTAACAGATGCATGCAACAGGTTCAAACTTATTGCCTGGCCGTTCATTAGAGAGCTTATTGTGCAACACATATTTTTATGAGTCTGCAAACAGCAGCAGTACAGTGAGCCATATATGTATGAATCTATGTATGCATAAAACAGTCATCTAATTTGATTGGCCTTATGATATACAGTCCCTCAGCACTGGGATTTTTCACTGTTTGCATTGTCTGTGTTTTTGCGGGATCAAGACAGGGAATGCCAGTCTGTTTATTTTGCTGTGGTCACGTTAAACTTTTGGCATGCCATTTTTTTTTTAAGATTTAGATTTACAAAAATAACCAGGAGGTACAATTATTAAAATAGTAATAATAAGATAAAAAAAAAAAAAAACATAAAAAAAAAAAAAAAAAAAACATTTGAAAATATTTGTTTAGATGTTTTACATCTTTCATTATTTTATTTTTTGTGATTCTTTATTTATTAAACATTTTATGTGTATAACTATTTACAACAAATCCCAATATCCGCCCACAATCATAAGACTAAATACAAATAAATTAACAATATGACAATAAAATAAAATAAAAACTGTGACCAAAACAATATAGAAGGATCTCAAAGTCTCAAGGTCTCAAACTTTTTAATAAAATCTTAATAAGGTCAAACCAAAATTGTATTGTCCTTCTGGTGGCACCGTGCACTTTAGCTGTGGTACATTCCAAAAGAGCAATGTCCAGCAAATAGGACATCCAAAGAGACATAGCTGGGGTAGTGTGTTCCAACCACAGTTTTAGGATAACCTTTTTAGCAGATATTTTATTAATTTATATTTATTAAGGTATTGTCGAACTGCCTTCAAAAATAAAAACATTAATTTCCCCCCATATTTACATTTGTGTAAATACATTTTGATAATAGATAATGCAGATTAATTAAATAATATTCCTTATAAGACAAAACATGGCATAAGTGAAATAACCAAATCAAACTTTTTCAAAACATAGTTGATAGTTGGGCAAGATGTGATCCTTAATAAATGAACCGAAATATTACCAAAAACAAGCCGAATGAGGGCAACTCCAAAAATGAATGAGACCATTCTGCATGTAGCCTATATGCAAACCATAAAAATAAAGATACTCTGATACTGCACAGAATAAGATATGACATCGGACGCTGTATCGCCTTCTTAAAAAAACATAAATTAAACATAACTATTAAATGAAATGCAAGCCTGCATATTCAGCAAGAAGAGGTCATTGGTCACACTTCGTAACATAATTCGCAAGTCCGAGTTTTCCAAAATTTGGAACGCGTCGAAATGCGAAAATTCGCATGCTTATGAATAGAAGTCAATGGAATTATGAAACGAAAGGCGTAGTGTGACGCCCCTTTAGAGTTATATATTATAACTCTAAATATATTCGGCGGCTGTAGGTTACAACCTCACGCCAGTAGGTGGCGACAGGTTTTAGTTAGTTGAGTTTCGCGCGATTCACGATTCCTGTTGCGTAGTATGTTTCTCCGAGGTACTTCTCATTGCACACTTTGTAACTATTTTTTAAAGATTGTAAAAAAGCAATATTACTCGCAATCGTAGTTTGAATATTACATGCGCCCTCATGTCTATGGCCGAATCAACTGCACTCTTACTCATTTGATATTCCTTAAAAGAAAAATTAATTTTAATTTTCAAAATGCTCATATGACGTATTCATAAGCAGGTGCCTTTTAAATTAACATAGACAGTGGCCTCAAAAATATTTGGTACTTTATCTGTTTGAACATCATTGCATTAATTAATGAGAATTGCATAATCAATTGCATAATCCACTGAAAATTAGTTCTGAGAAATGCTCCAGCAGTTTTTGTTTGCTTATGGGGGGATTATATTAATTATCTAATGCAATGACATTCAGATATTACAAATGTTGCTTAAATGTCCAAATATTATTTGGGGTCACTTAGTAAGGGATATTGGAAACTTTTATAGCAATATTCATTGAGTATCAGTATCTCTCTGAATGTGCTGCATTGCTCAAATACAGTACCTAAAAGTACCGGTTCCCCTTGAAACGTCCTGTGTAAAGGTGTTGGATACAATCCCATCAGCCATTTCAGACCCACTACATGTTGATCATAGTTATGAAAACACATCTTTACTTACTATGAGTGAAGCCCTCCTAGTTTTAATTGGAATCATGCATTCATGCATATTGAAGCCACCATGCTTTCAACCCTTGAAAGAGTGAATCATCTTTGGTTTTAGATTGATATAGTCTACTTGTATTTTAATAATGTTCAAATTGGTTTAATCTCTCTTCCACATCAGATAAACTGTTTTGTTAAAGGGGTCATATAATGGTGCATGCACTTTTACAAGTTGATTGTACTGAAATGTGTGTTGGCAGTGTCTGTACACAACCATCATATAATGATAAAAATCCATCCAGTGGTTTTGTTTTAATCTCCTTATATGTTTTCCCCTGCCTCAAATCGAGCCGTTCGACCGTGTGACGTCACACGCTCGGAAGCCCCTCCCACGATTGTTGATTGACAGGAGCGTCTCAACACAGACCCGCCCTCGCGGGCGAGATCAGCTCCATGAGAGAGCTGTCAATCATAGTCTGCGCGGACCGGCGCGGTCATTGTTGAAATGCTGGAGCACTGTCTATGAGCAGAATGGCGTCTAAGCGATTGTGGTGTTCTGTTCTTGGGTGTAATAACGAACACAGCAGTCATTTTAATGTTCCTAAATCCGAACCGCTGAAGACGCAGTGGCTGTGTTTGTTTTCGAAGGGAATATTCCCCACGAGCAACGTCAATGCGTTCATGTTTGCGCGAATCATTTCTCACCAGACTGCTTTATAGACGAGGATCAGTATAAAGCTGGATTTGCTAAGCTGCTGCTCATGAAAAATGGATCGGTAGCTGCTACCAGATATTCGTGTTCCTGCTGAATCTCCAGAAGAACGGAAGTGAGTGTAACGTTTTATTAAACTTTATATTAATATATTAATCTTTGCAAATCGCTAGCTGCACGGTTCACAATGAATGCGTCTAAGGTTTACACTCAGGGTACATTACGGCATGTTTTCTATGTATGACGTTCTCAATATAATTCATAATCCCACGTTTATACTGAACAACGCGTTATGGTTATTGAGTTACAAATGGTGTACGCCAGAGAGCTCTGGTGTACACAGAACAGAGAGGCGGAGTCAGCAAAGCTCATGATCATTTAAAGTCATTTGCACTGAAACGGCGTGCTGAAAACAGAGCTGTTTTTGACCAGGTAAAATAAGTGTTTTCTTACAATACTAATGAGAATTTTTAATTAAAGTATATTACAAACTTTTAATTTAGACCCTAAAGAATCATATTAGCTTGTACAAAAATGGCATTATATGACCCCTTTAATTAAATGATTTATACACAACATTTGATAAGAATCTTGGCCTCTGACCGAACTTCACGTCTTGTAGTTTCTAAGCGCCACATACCAAAACAGTTGAAGTGTAGCAAAGCGGTTCATATCAGCGGCAAAATAACAACTCGCTTGAACACTAGTTTCCCATGGTTCTACTCAGGTGCTTGGAAAGACCAGCCAGTTTTACTCTATTACCCCAACAAAAGGATCCTGGGTAGCTTCAGTGCCATGCTTCAAAGGTCTTTCTCTACGCCTATACGGTCATACTGAAAGAAGGTTTTGAAGCAGGCTGTTTTGTCTGGGGATGTTTGAAAGGATAGTTTGCTCATCCCATTTGTTATTTGAAAGGGAAATCAGTGCAGCTAAAGATTTGCTGTTTTTCCACAGACGGTCAATCTGACAGCGTTAAACAGAGCCGGTAAACACTTGCCGACACAGGAGCACAATGCAGCTCCTGTGCTGAGAGATTGGTATAACAAATAAAGCTGACCTTTGATTTGCATTTGAGTGACAGACAAGACAGTAGTTTTTACAATGAAATGAAATGTTTGTCCGGCATCCTTAAGATTCCATGCTAAAGGTTTAGGCTTTTTCTTATTTTAGTGTTGCTCATCCTGGTCCTCCTGTTACTGTATAACTGTGATTCCTAACCAGATGATTTCGCCCTGTTTAAAGCATACAACTTTACCATTACCATTCAAACGTTTGGTGTCTGCAAGTTAATGTTTTTGAAAAATCATGCTTACCAAAGATGTATTTATTTGATAAAAAAAAGTGAATTCAGCAACCATTACTAATATTATTCTAATATGTTGCTCAAACATTTCGTATTATTATCATTGTAGAAAACGAGTGTGCTGCTTAATTGTTATTTTTTCTGGATTTTTTTTTACAAATACGAATTTCAAAAGAACAGCATTTGTTCTTGTCATTGATCTTTTTGTTAAAATGTAAAAGTCATTACTATCACTTTTGATTAAATGCATCCATGTTATTATATATATGTATTTTCATTATTATTATTTATTTATTTATTCAAAATGACACAATTACGATTAATCTTTCGTACTTTCCTTCTTAATCTCCCATTCAGTCAAGCCAATATCAATCTAAATGCTCTTATTAAATTACAGACTATATTTCTCTGCTGTTTCCTTTTTAAAAGGAATAACATGGCTATTTTATTATTATAAATGAGAGTTTTAAATATATCCTGTGTAATACAGGTTTGGGGTTGATTTTTAAATATTTTCTAAATATATCCTGTCTGTGTAATACAGGTTTGTCTGGGGATGTTTGAAAGGACAGTTTGCTCGTCCCATATATTATTTGAAAGGGAAATCAGTGCGGCTAAAGATTTCTTATAAAAACCTATACGATTAAAAAAAAAAAATGGGGTGAAATTTCATTGCATGCCTTAAGACATAAAAGTTGGGAAACTGAGTG